AGGAAAATTGAGCTATGTCCATCAACTTTGCCCAGTTCTGTTGGTTAGCCCTTACAAAGTGCCTAAGATAACATTCCAACAATTCATTCACCCGCTACGTCTGCCCATCCGTTTGCGGGTGGAAACTGCTAGAAAAGTGCAAGTCCGTTCTAAGAAGTTTAAACAACTCCATCCACAATTTCCCCGTGAAGCGGGGATCTTCATCACTTATAATATTTATGGGCAATCTCCAATACTTCACAGCATGTTTGAATAGTAATCGACCGTCTCCTCCGCAGTGCCATAGGAGTTGGAATAAAAGTTGCATATTTTGAAAACCGATCAACAACAACAATAATTTATCTAAACCCTTAGGACTTTGGCAAGGTAGTTATGTAGTCCATGGTAACCACATCCCATGATTGATTCGGAACAGGGAGGGGATCAAGAAGTCCCGCTGGTAACCTTTGTTCTATTTTGTCTTGTTGGCACACAAGACAGGTTCGGACATGTCTCCACTTAATCCCGCATTTGTGGCCAATAATATGTCCATTTAATCAAAGCTAATGTCCGGTCTATTCATGGATGTCCGCGCATTTGGTGTCATGACATTCACGAATCACGTCACGTCACGCCACAAGTTATTCCACTTACGCACAAATACCCGTTTCCAGTGGTGTACAACAACCTATTTTCCACCTAAAATCTCATTGTCTTGCCTTCTTGGGTAGCCTACATCAACATTTTTGCCACATGATCGTGTTCTATTCCTCGTCTAATTTCTTCCAACAAAGTGCTTGTGGCTTGGCTAATGGCTGCAAGTTTCGCCTTCCGACTAAGGGTATTTGCTTCTACGTTTGCCTTCCCGGGTTTATACTCCATCACATAATCAAACTCTGCTAAGAAGTCTTGCCAACGAGCTTGTTTCGGGCTTAACTTCTTTTGTGATTGGAAGTAACTTGTAGCCACGTTATCTGTTTTTATCACAAAATGGGAACCCAAAATATAATGACGTCATACCCGTAAACAATGTACAATGGATGCTATTTCTTTTTCTTGCACCGTGTAGCGTTGCTCCATATCATTCTACTTGCGGCTTTCGAGAGCAATTGGATGACTTTCTTGCATGAGCACACCTCCAATGGCAAAATCCGATGCATTCGTTTGTACTTCAAGTTTTTTTATTGAAATCCGGTAATGCTAACACCGGCTCTTCCATGACCGCCGTTTTTAAATCATCAAAGGCTCTTTGACCTTTCACGGACCAATCTCACCCTAGGGATTTTTGAAGTAAATCTATCAACGGGGCCGCTCTAGACGAGTAGTCTTTAATGAAACGTCGGTAATAGTTTACCAACCTAAGGAAAGACCGCAATTCCGTCACTTTAGTGGGTGGTTCCCACTCATTGATTGTTTTTAGTTTGGCTCCATCCATCTTCAAGCGACCATGTTCGATAATGTGTCCTAAGAAGTTCACTTCTTTTGCAAATGAGCACTTCTCGTTTTTGATGAACAATTCATTTTCTCACAACACTTGGAAGATATTTTTCAAATGTTCAACTTGTCCTTCCAAGGTGTTGCTATAGATAACAATGTCATCAAGATAAACCACCACGAACTTATCCAGGTATGGATAAAATATCTTGTTCATCAAAGTGCAAAAGGTAGCCGGAGTATTGGTCAACTCAAATGGCATGACAAGCCATTCATAGTAACCATACCTAGTAATGCACGTAGTTTTAGGCTCATCTCCCTCCGCAATGCGAACTTGGTAGTATCCTTTTTGCAAATCATCCTTCATATAGATCTTGGCACTACCGAGCCGATCAAATAAATCTGCAATCAATGGAATATGATATTTGTTCTCACTTTGTTTAATGCTCGGTAATCCACGCACATCCGCAACGTTCCATCCGACTTCTTTTGGAACAGCACCGGGGCACCATAAGGTGCTTTAGACGGTCTAATCCTTCCCTTGTCAGCAAGCTCCGTTAGTTGTTTTCGAAACTCTTCCAACTCCGAGGGTGCCATGGCGGGAGGTTTGGCATTGAGTTCCAATTCAATACGATAGTCTACTTCCCTCCTAGGCGGAAGTTTCTTGGTAATGACGCGGGCATCACGTCTTTATTTTCCTCAGGACTTTCACCAAGACAACCTCATTCATAGTGACTTCAGATGCAACCGACAATTGAGCAATGAATGTCGGTTCACCTCCCTTCCATCATTTGGCTAATTGCATAGCCGAAAGTTGTCCCGCTTCCGTCCAATTCATCTTGAATGGTTCCTACCGTTTCCATAGGGATGGAAGGGCAGTGAACCGACATTCATTGCTCAATTGTCGGTTGCATCCGAAGTCACTATGAATGAGGATGTCTTGCCAGCTGCAATGGTGAAAGTCCTTGAGGAAAATAAGGACGTGATGCCCGCGACATTACCAAAGAAACTTCCGCCTAACAGGGAAGTAGACCATCGTATTGAATTTGGAACCCAATGCCAAACCTCCCTCCATGGCACCCCTAGAGTTGGAAGAGTTTCGAAAACAACTAACGGAGCTTGTTGACACAGGAAGGATTAGACCGTCTAAAGCACCTTATGGTGCCCCGGTGTTGTTCCAAAAGAAGTCGGATGGAACGTTGCGGATGTGCGTGGATTATCGGGTATTAAACAAAGTGACGGTGAAGAACAAAATTCCATTGATTGCGGATTTATTTGATCGGCTCGGTAGTGCCAAGATCTATATGAATGTTGATTTGCAAAAATGCACTATCAAGTTCGCATTGCGGAGGGAGATAAGCTTAAAACTACGTGCATTACTCGGTATGGTTCCTGTAAATGGCTTGTCATGCCATTTGGGTTGATCAATGCTCCGACTACCTTTTGCACTTTGATGAACAAGATATTTTATCCATACCTGGATAAGTTCGTGGTTGTTTATCTCAATGACATAACAATCTATAGCAACACCTTGGAGGAACATGTTGAACATTTGAAAAATATCTTTCAAGTGTTGCGAGAAAACAAATTGTTCATAAAAAAGGAGAAGTGTTCGTTTGCAAAAGAAGTGAACTTCTTGGGACACATTATCGGACATGGTCCCTTGAAGATGGATGAAGCCAAAATAAAAGCAATCAATGAGTGGGAACCACCCACTAAAGTGACGGAATTGCGGTTTTTCCTTGGGTTGGTAAACTATTACCGACGTTTCATTAAAGACTACTCGTCTTGAGCGGCACTGTTGATAGATTAGCTTAAAAAATCCCAAATGTGGGATTGGTCCGTGAAAGGTCAAAGAGCCTTTGATGATTTAAATCATGGAAGAGTCGGTGTTAGCATTGTCGGATTTCAACAAAAAATTTGAAGTACAAACGGATGCATCGGATTTTGCCATTGGAGGTGTGCTTATGCAAGAAGGTCATCCAATTGCCCTCGAAAGCCGCAAGTTGAATGATACGGAGCGGTGCTAAACGGTGCAAGAAAAAGAAATGACGGCCATTGTACATTGGTTACGGGTATGGCGTCATTATCTTTTGGGTTCCCATTTTGCAATAAAAACAGATAACGTGGCTACAAGTTACTTCTAACCACAAAAGAAGTTAAGCCCAAAGTAAGCTCGTTGGCAAGACTTCTTAGCAGAGTTTGATTATGTGATGGAGTATAAACTCGGGAAGGCAAACGTGGTAGCAGATGCCCTCAGTCTGAAGGTGGAACGTGCAGCCATTAGCCAAGCCACAAGCACTTTATCGGAAGAAATTAGACGAGGAATGGAACACGATCATGTGGCAAAAATGTTGATGCAGGGTGCCCAAGAAGGCAAGATAAGTAGATTTTGGGTGGAAAATAGGTTGTACACCACTGGGCAACGGGTATTTGTGCGTAAGTGGAATAACTTGTGGCATGACGTGATTCGGGAATGTCAGGACACTAAGTGGGCTGGACATCCAGAAATAGACCGGACATTAGCTTTGATTGAACGGACATATTATTGGCCACAAATGCGGGATCAAGTGGAGTCCGGACCTGTCTTGTGTGCCAACAAGACAAAATAGAACAAAGGTTACTAGCGGGACTTCTTGATTCCCTCCCTGTTCCGAATCAACCATGGGATGTGGTTACCATGGACTACATAACTACCTTACCAAAGTCCGAAGGGTTTAGATCAATTATTGTTGTTGTTGATCGGTTTTCAAAATATGCAACTTTTATTCCAGCACCTAAGGACTGCACTGCGGAGGAGACAGCCAGGTTACTATTCAAACAAGTTGTGAAGTTTTGGGGATTGCCCAAAAATATTATAAGTGATCAAGATTCCCGCTTCAAGTGGAAATTGTAGACGGAGTTGTTTAAACTCCTTGGAACGGACTTGCACTTTTCTAGCAGTTTCCACCCGCAGACAGATGGACAGACGGAGTGGATGAACGCATTGTTTGAATGTTATCTTAGGCACTTTGTTAGTGCTAATCAACGGGATTGGGCAAAGTTGATGGACATAGCTCAATTTTCCTACAACTTGCAAAAAAGTGAATTACGAGACAATCCGTTTGAGCTTGCAACGTGGCGACAACCTATAACACCCCACACCTTGCCTGTAATTGGTAATTTAGGGCGAAGTCCCGGAGAAATAAAAATTGCTAAATCATGGGGAGATCATATGGACTTAGCTAGATCATGCTTGGAGAAAGCTCGGAAGCGCATGAAGAAATGGGCCGACATGAAACGGAGATCGTTGGAATTCAACATTGGAGATCAAGTACTTGTGAAAGTGCAGCCTCGACAATTCAAAGCTTACCGGACAGTTCACAAAGGCTTGGTTAGAAAGTATGAGGGTCCGTTTCCCGTTATAGCTAAAGTAGGAAGAGTTTCCTATCGGCTAGATCTCCAAAACACTTTGAAAATCTACCCGATTTTTCATGTGAACATGTTGAAGCCATATAAACCGAATGTGAAGGATGCAAAGAGAAATAAATCACGAAGAACGACTTCCATTGTCACAATCTTTCGAGGAAGATGTTGAATCCATTTTGGCATATCGAGTGGTGAGACGGAGGGGTATCCCACCTTGCACCCAATAATACTTAGTCAAATGGAAGAGGCGGCCCGAATCCGAAGCTACTTGGGAAAATGAGGGGGACTTATGGCAGTATGAGCCCGAGTTTCGACATTACACGGCGACGAGGGCGTCACCAGATTCGGTGGGGGAGTAACTTACCCTCCACTAGGTCGCAGCCGAATCATCCCGGCAGCAAGATAGCGCAACCAGCACGCTGTAACAGGAAGGAACTGCTGTAACAGCCAGGACGCTGTAACAGCCAGGACGCATGCAACTTATGCACACAGACTACAAGATACGGGCTGCAGTCACAGAAGGAAGCAGGCAGCACAACAAGCACATAGGCTGCAGGACATGGGGGCAAAATACTGTCATTTCTAGCAAGAGAAATACCATGGGCTGCAGCTAGATTTTGGGGATGTAAGTGGACAACTTGTGCAACTTGTCCAAATTGCCCACTTATGCCACTTGCAAGATAATGTCAAGGAAGAAAAAGACAAATTTGGCCACTATAAAAGGAACATGTCCACTTGCACGTGAGTTGTAGAGACATGCAAGTTGCATTGGAATCAATGGCCCAAATTAATCTTCATTCAAGGATCTTCATTGGATGCAAATTGTATTAACCTCCTTAGACCATAAGGAAGCAAAGTTGGAATTTATTTCATTGCAAGTTGCATGTCTCTACAACTCACATGCAAGTGGACATGTCCCTTTCATAGTGGCCAAATTTGTCTTTACTTCTTCCTTGACATTATCTTGCAAGTGGCACAAGTGGGCAATTTGGACAAGTTGCACAAGTTGTCCACTTGCATCCCCAAAATATCTAGCAACAACCCATGGTATTTCTCTTGCTGGAAATGGCAATATTTTGCCTCAGAAGACCACATTGTTGTGCTGGAAAACTGTCCATGTCCTGTAGCCTGTGTTTGATGTGCTACCTGCGTCCTGTCGTGACTGCAGTCTATGTGCACAAGCTGCCGCGTCCTGCCACATCATGCTGCCTGCACTGTCTTGATGCCGTTGCTGGGACGGTTTGGCTGCGACCTGGTGGGGCGTAAGTTTCAACTGCTCTATATCGTATTAAATCATCTAATTTAAAAGCTCAAAATAGTATGCTTATTTTATCTTCTATATATCTTCTCAGGTAGCTAATTGAGCTTACTGGTCACATTTGTAGACCAAGATGTGGCCACAATGCAATGCAAAGTTGGGAATCGAAATGTCTACCAGGGTAGTATAACCCCATCGGTGCTAGTACAATGTTGGAATAAAACATAGCGTAACAAGAATAAGACATGTCGAGAAAGCGGACATTGCTACATCCCACTTTTGTGCAAAAGTAAAGTTGTAACGTATTTATGAGAGCCGACATGGGTTCACTATTTAAGTTAAGGTAGTCATTTTGACAACTTGAAACTACAATACAGGTGGTTAAAGTGGCAAACCATGTAACGGATATTGCTTATGGTGTGGCCATAGGGTGTCACTGTCCAATAGCATAAAACTCCAAACAATAATGAGAATAATATGAAATATCTAACCTCTCTTTTCCAAGGCACCCCTTGTTTTCTATTTCTACACATTCTGCAGAATACCTAAATTCTCATGATATTGGATGGTTAGATAATTTATTAGTTCCCCATCTGGATATATTGCAGATAGGAAACATAAAATCCAAGAACGCCAACACCTACTTGTGCAGGCGACCATCCATGGGCTCCAAGGAGACAAGCAAGTGGGTGAACTTCTTCAACTTAGTTTTTTGTGACATTTATATCACCTATTCTTTAGTTGTTCTAAGCTTACTAGACGAATATCCTTGAGTTCTATACATTTATAAGATTAATACTAATGCTTGGATGACCCTACATCTAGCAAGTCGTAATGTTAAGTTGTTAATAAATTTCTTCAATGACTTAATCTCCAAAGTCATAAAGACATCATAGTTCAACTAAATCCTTAATTAGGCTACATAGAAACGTAGTGTGTAAATTGATAGGGCACACACGTAAATAAGGTGATGTAGGAGAATTTTAATTCCGCTTCCGCACAATAAGGAATCCAACAACACAGTCTAAAACCATATAATTTGAGTGCACAAGAGTCCGTTAGTAAAAGAAATTTGTACGAATGGAGTCCTATATTGAAAACAAACATGAAAATAGAACAAATAAATTTCCAAGAAATACCTTCCCTTTGCTGACACGATCAATTGATCAGAATTGTTAAGCGAGTCATGTATCTTCTCAATTTCCATTTTGCATTCCGACACAATGGCTCCCCTTGCAAATAGTTCGGCTGATCGGCTTGGGAAAACATAGGCTTGTGATGAAACTGAAGTTTGCTTATATATGAATTCACTAATTGTCGATGCGGACAAATCTTTTTCCATGTTATCAATCAATAGAAAATGCTGAATGCCAGTTTCAGCAAACTCATTCACATGAATAAAGTCCCTTCCCATGTCTTCATCATGAAGATGATCTGAATGAGCTTTGCTGATCCTCCCTGCCATTCAAAATGAAATAAGTTTAGTAAATTAAATTAAAGGACCATGGATAATGAAGATAAAACAATCAGTTGTCCGTCTCGCACCATAACACTTGCCAGTAGTCCCCATAACCTAAAAACAAGGAGTGGCGTCAAATTCCAGAATATTTTCTATCAAGCAAATTTCAGAATGTAACGCATTAACCAATTGTTGAAAGATTATGCCAGAATAACTTGCCAGAAACCCAGGTTTAAGTTTGACATATAGACTATTTTCTTCACCGTGCAATGGCCCTATAGATACCGCAACATCATTCTGGGGTATTTCAGTATATTTGGCAAGCTTGTTTCCAATTCTTTCCTTTGCCACTATGGAGAAACGCAAAATTCTGGGATCAACTTGAGTCGTCTGTTGAAGAAGGCATATGCTTGCAATGCCTGCCAATGTCAGGATTCCCAAATTTGGACCATGTTGCCATAACAAGACAAATGAGCAAAGACACTCCTCTTCAGTACTTGCAAATGAATGTTTATCACGGTGCACCTATCAAATACAGATGAACAGACATTGGTAAGCCACGGAAGTCCCAAACCAAACTAAACAAAGAAACGCATATGTTCGTCCATAAATCATGCAGTTCGTGCCAAAGACCTCTGCTTGAGGGTCTAAAGATCACTGCGTCAATGTAATTTCTGCTTCAAATTTCAAACCATGTGACAGAACCCATTGGCTTTGCCTTTAACCAGTAAAACACACAATCACACAGGTGAATTAACCCCCACCTCTATATTAATACCGTAACTCAAAAGTAAAAAGAGCTTAGTCGGAAGACAGAAGGTCTTCATCATGGAGGAAAATGGAAAATAAATAGATAGATAGATACGCCAATATGGAATGTAACCTGTTATGCCTCATCAGACGAGGCTCCAAGTATCATCCATGTGGCATCTAGCTAGCAAGCCTAATCAAACCCGCACTACATGTCATTATCCTACCTAGATTAGCCATAAAATATAGGTAGTCAAAGTGATCCACCACCACCTCCATGGCCGAAGCGAGGTACTATAACCTGTTGCAGAGTAGATCCGAAGTGACTAGCCTCTCAACATGAGAAGGCATCTTCCTACATCGTCTCTTCCAAAAGATCTTCCATAAAAGATTTTTGAATGATTGATGTAACCAGGGGCGGAGATAGGGGTGGGCAGCCCACCCTTGCCCACCCCAGCCCAAGCCAAATTTTGTTAAAAAAAGAAAAAACATTGGTTATAGTTCATCTTTTTCTAATGTCCAACCTAGTAGTCCACTGTCCAACCCAGTAGCTCTCCGTTCCATTGAATCCTGGCTCCGCCACTGGTTGTAAATTAACTTGTTAGTTTACTTTTTAAATACAGACCGCCTATAAGGTGATTACTTTTCAAAATCATTAAATGCTCTTGAGTCTAGGACTGACGGAGTGACACTTAAGAAGATGCCTCGATTGTTAAGATGAGACCATTCGTTTTTTCATCCAACGATGACCACTATTTAGTTTTGAAGGTAATACAATTTTATACACTCAATAGTTATTGCTAATTCTTGTTCTCTATATACCTCAGGTGCACGTACACTATTGTGGTTCACGTCTTCCGTTCATCACACACCCAAATATATATAAGCTAGTTGACTGACTTAATCATTGGTGTGCTCGTGGCTTCCCCAGCTTTGGAGGTTATATGCTCCTATCGGTTTTTCCTAATGTGCAGGAGCTGTATGCATGGACATGAGTAGAGTCGAAATATGTTGGTCACATCACTCGTCAAAAACCGAGGCCAACTTAACCTATTGGCTTAGTGAGTTAATACTGATTTACTTTTCTAACATTTCCAGATGCTAGGAGATAAAAACAAAAGCTGACAAAAATTGAAATAAGAAAACATGTTGTATCAAAGTCAGTCAACAACTCATGGAACTCATTTTATCAACTCAACAACTCATATGGAACTCATAGGAAAAGAACCTGGCCAATTTTCATAAAATAGTGTCACTTAAGCAGGTCAACAACTCATTTTACCAGAAAATTGAATTGATTTTGCCAAATCTTCTTAGAGCAAAAAAGAAAAGAATGAAATTGAAATTAAGTGCAAAAGGATTCTTTTAAGACTAATACCATGAAAACAATAAATAATGTATGGGATCTTTTAAGATGGAAATTGAAACTAAGCCCCTGTTTGAGCCACATTAAAATTTCATTCTCATTCTTCTACTCATTTTCGGACATTCTTTAATAAAATAATATTTTTCATCACATCAATAACTTTTCCTTCTTTTTCAACCATACATTCTCCATCAATCTACTATTTCAAAATTAGTTCTTCCAAAATAATGTGGCTCAAACACACCCTAAATATAGTACCAAAGCCTAAAGATCTTAAACGAGCCAATTTACCCATCTATAACTCAAGCAATCAGATTTGAAAATTGGTGTTGGCCAACTAGCCATCATCTTGTGGTGCATGTTAACCATAATATGATAACAACAAATGAACCTGATACTGAATGGAATTCTTATTTTGCATAAGTCACCAAATCGAAATAAATCACAATGATCCATACTATCCATATAAACAACATACTCCATCGCTATACCTTTCAGTTATAACAACATACGGATTCGTGAATGTAAATCTCATTAGATTGGGTAAACATCTCGGAAAATTTTGTAAGCATTTACTTAAAAAAATTAAAATTTTATTTACGCATCTTGGTCCTAGAATTTTCTTCTTTTTTTTCCCCCTTCATTTGCTCAGCAAGTAGAAAAGAGAAGGTACAAGCAATAATGCACGATGTACAAATGATAAAAATAGCGATATTGCATTTCAAATAGTGAAACTCCATGATTACTCACCGCCTCAACCATGGCGTCGAAGTAGCGAAGGTCTTTTTGGTCCAAGGAGTAGGAGGAGCAGACAATCATACCCTCTGTGACTTTATCGCACTCCTCATCCTGCAGTTGCCGTGAAAGTGGACGGAATCTGTTCATCGCTTCGTCCACGTCTTCCGCCGTCTCGAATTGGTCGGTTTGGAAAATGGTGTCCGATGAATCCAGAAAGCCTTCGTACTTCACCGTCAGTGTCTCGCCACCTTCCGCCACTACCACCTTCACCGTGTACCAGGCGTCGTCGTCCACGTGCCTGTACTCCAGGTCGTACTCTGGCGAGACGTACTCCATTAACAAAGTAGTACCTTTTTGCTACACCGGCAGATAGAGAAGTGACACCTTGTCTATAGGAGATTGTACGACACTCTAAAAAATGGGAGTTTAATGTCAATAATCACCCAATTTACAATATGATCACCAATTATTAAGAGTGTGTTTCGAACACATTCTTTTGAAAGAATGTATTATTGAATAATAAATTGATGGAGAATGTGTGGTTAAAAATGAAGGAAAAGTTATTGATGTGATAGAAAATATTATTTTATTAAAAAATGTATGGTTGAAAATGAATAGAAGAATGAGAATGAAAAAAAATAATGTGTGCCAACAGGGCCTAAATATCAAAGTATTTTATAGCACTCAGTAAACATTGTCTATTTACACTCCATTCTTCACCCGGAAAAATCCGTTGCCTTATTCTTTTACTAATTATAAATTTCAAAGTATTTTATAGTGCTTAGTAAACATGGTCCATTTACACATCATTGTTCACCCAAAAAAATCTGTTGCGTTCTATGAAGTGGTTACGAAACTCTCACATGACAAGTTACGGTGATTAAAAAAATTACAATTCAACCAAATCACTGTTTAATTACTCATCCAACTTATACTGGTCACAATTTACTCATCAAACTTAAAAAATACTTTACAATGGTCACTCATAATTGAAATATTGCATTCTATCCATCACCCATCATATCACATTCCATTCGTTACTAATGTATCACACAAAAATCTCATGTGGCAAAATACAATCATTAAAAAATTACAACTCATCCAAATCATTAAGTCACCAAAATATCATATATGAAACGCGACTTTCATGACTCCATAAATTTCTTTAAAACCCAAAAAAAAAATCCTTAATTTCAGCCCTAAAAAATCCTAGCCGCCAATTCTCTCATTTTACCCACGTACACCTAAAATTATATAATAAGACATAGTCGATTGTTGAGAATGATACAATAAGCGAGATGAGTGAATTGGGAGGCTATGATTTTTTAGGGTTGAAATTGGGGACTCTTTATTGAGTTTTTAAGAAGTTTATAGGGTTGTAGAAGTCGCGTTTCACATATGATGAGTTTGGTGAGTTGATAGTATGATTGAGTTGTATTTTTTTTAACAATTATAACTTGTCATGTGCAATTTTTGTGTGATACTTTAGCAACGAAGGGAATGAAATATGACAAATGATAGACGTAGTGCAACATTTCAAAGATGAGTGATTATTGGGATGTATTTTGAAATTTGATGAGAACTATAAGTGTGAGTTGGATAAGTAATGGAACAATTATTTGGTTGAGTTGTAATTTTTTTAACGACCGTAACTTGCCACGTGAGATTTTCGTTAGCTATGTCAGCGAAGGAAGTAACAATTTTTTAGGTTGATGGATGGAGTGCAAACAGATGACGTTTAGTGAATACTATGAAATACTTTGAAATTTAGTGAGTAACGCATAATTATGGTTTATATTGGGTGATTATTGAAACAATTAACTCAAAAAATGTATAAAATATTGTAAATGGTAAATTTATAATGAATGACAATTGTACCCCTCAATTCTAGAAATTATTATCTTTGTAACCTTAATCATTCCCTATAAATATGGGACTTGGTTCTTAATAAAACACACAACTATATTGACTTATCTCTATTTTCTTCTATTTTCTCACTCTTATTATAATAAGTTATCAGCACGATTCTCTCAAAATCAAAGTAAATTAGTTAGAAGGTAATAATTTTTATAAGTATAATCATCTGTCACGTGTATCGAAATCAATTTAGTTATATTTGAATTTTTTTTATATACATATATGCATTAAGAGTTTTTTTACATATAAATTAATTCTACCACAATCATTGCCTTTTGATACATAGAATTCACGCTTTTAGCTTTTGTGTATATGGAATTCATTTTAAAGTTATTCATGCATTTAACTTCTATATACGTGAATTCACGTGTTTGGTATCTTTTGCATGTTTGTTAGTAAAAGATTTAGTTAATTGTGTTCATTTTTATATATGAAGATTATTTTTCCTAATGCATTTTTGGTAATTAATTTTCATATCATATCGTGTTTGTATGGTAATTAATACTTTTAATGTGATTAAATTTTTTTAGGTATTATTTAATAAATTTTAAATTGATAATCTATCATGTTGTTGTTCTTGAAGTAGCACAATATTATAATTAATATTTTAAAAGAATTTACTTATAGGTCTTTCTATTGGAATATTGTTGCTCCTGAAGCATTACAATATTGTTTACATATATTTTAATTAAATTTTACTTACTCTCGAAGAGTATAATCAAGTAGAATCCAACATAAATTATATTTTTATTCCCGAAAAGTAGATTCTTATATAAATTATTATAATAATATGCGATTGCTCCTGAAGAACCTGAAATTATAATTTTCAATATTTCAGAAAAATATTGATCTATTGCATTTGAAGAAATACAACGTACTTTCAAAGTAACACGAAGGCAACTTCATCAAAATCGTGAATAGGCCGAGCCGATGTGCAGAGACCAAACCTATTGGACTTTGTCAATGCCAGTTGAAGGAACTGGGCTTCCATCGCGAGGGAACCGCTAAAGGAGTTCGGCACAAAATCTTCTTGGGTCATCCATGGTATGTGATTAATATGACAACCTACTACCGCTACCAACCCTTCCTAGCTAAACAAATCAAGTCCAAAGCCACAAGCTAGGTATTGTGGATAATAAAATTGTATTAGCATTTAATGTGCATGATTGATTGAGGTAATGATAGAGTCCCAACCTTCAGATGAGGTCACGCGTCACCTCATCTAACGACTCTTAATCATCATTTTTATATTATAAAAGCTCACATTTAGTGTCATTTCGAGGTAATGCAAGTTTATGCTCTCAACTGCAACTTTGCTCTTTTATTATCCTCGATAGGCCGACCCTCTTTTTACATTGGAGTCTCATGTCCAAAACCCTCCCACATTCATGCATTTATCTCCCCAACTGACTTGACTGTTGGAGTGTACGCGGCCAACTCCACCACCACCACCACTGGAGGAAGCCACACGTGGCTAACAATTTGTCCAAGTATGTAGGAATCATGCTTACGTTGGCGGAAAAGCCTTAGGATTTGTTGGCCACATTGGAGGTAAAAAATTTGAGGTTAACAGATTGACGTTATCTGTGGAAAACCACACCATAACCACGAATTCCTTTGCAGTGGAAGACATTAGAAGAATTGTTCAAAAGGAAGGCTTTTATTCTTGAAGAAATGCTCTAGTTTTTAAAGAAATGACAAGTGAAAAAAATACTAAGAGAGGTGCCATTAAAAGCACTACCTGGTGTACCAATTCCGTTCGCATCATGAGTTCTAGCCACTACGGCTCACAAGCCAGGAATCAACCGGAGTAGGCCTCAGAAGAAGTTATTCGGACAAAAGCTAATGTTCATCAACCCCACAACCAGTATCGATGAGGCGGCATCACAACTTCGCATTTAGCAAGAGAGGTAGGAGAGATGGTTACAAATATAAAAAACATAGCCTAGCAAAATGCTATCATGTAGCAATTACTTATGCAAATACAAGGGCAAACTGGATATCAAATACCTCATTAGGGCGCATTCTAGCAAGCTGAGAAGAACATAACCAATGGACTTATTTCCAAAGGCAATGAAAGGAGCCTAGTCCTGCTGAAAAGGAGTTGGAGGTGGACATGTCAACAAACTACATCTCCGACAGACTCGTTAGCAATCTACCTCAAGAGAAGGAAAACTTCCTCCCAGAATATGTGCAGGAGCATGAACTTCAGAGGTCCACTAGTGTCTTCGACATGATTGGTCCATCAACGCCTAGAAATAGGTCCCAACAACCACCTTCTATGCAAAAGCAATAAGGCCATGAGCCCTAAGAGGCCCATCCACCTAGAAATAGGCAGGAAAGAAGGAACACTGCCAATTTGAGGAATCAAGTCGGTACATCACAACCCACATGATGCCAGGCCGAGGAGAAGGATTCAGATGGCCCACGCAAGTCTTTTGAATTAGATGATGATGAGAATTGAGGAATGCCCATGTTCCTAGGCACTTTGTGCCACCAAATATTCCCAAATATGAAGGAAAGGTCGATCTGGTAAAGTACCTTAACAACTATAAAACTCATATGAGTCTTAGGAGAGATTTGCAAACGTTGAATTGTAGAGCCTTCTAACTCACACTTACGGGGGCTACCGAGATATGGTATAACCGTATACCGGCTGGAAGTATAATGTAACGACCCGGGTCCCACTTAACGAGCTGTCCCGACCGTTAGATCGACGACGTACTGTCCCCACTGTACCAACATGGGTCTTTTTAGCATGCTTTATCCTCACTCGCACGCTCCCTAAGAAAACATCCCAGGGGATCACCCATCATAGAATTGCTCCAAGCCAAGCAAGCTTAACTGTAGAGTTTCTAAAGATGGACTTCGGGAAAAGAAGGTGCACCTTGTTGGTTTGAGTAGTACCAATCAAATCTTTTAAGGTTTCTTGGTTTGGGTATTACAATCACCCCCGTTATACTCGCGACGTCCTCATCGCGCTTGATCCATCTGAGGATCCGTTGCCAGGCATTGGGATTCTAGAGGTGGCTACTACGGGTTCAAGAGGTGGCTCCCGCCCTATGGCGTAGCACTTTGTCCCGCATAGCACTTAGTTCCCGATTTTCAGCTAGCAACCGGGCTCTGATATCATTTGTAACGACCCAGGTCCCAATTAACAGACTGTCCCGACCGTTAGATCAACGACGTACTATCCCCACNCCGAGAAAACTTCCCAGGGAGTCACCCATCATAGAATTGCTCCAAGCCAGCACGCTTAACTGTAGAGTTTCTAACGATGGACTTCCGAAAAAGAAGGTGCACCTTGTTGGTATGAGTAGTACCTATCAAATCTTTTAACTTTTCTCGTCTGGGTATTACATATAAGGAGCTGGCCGAACATGAAGAAAGCCTTTTTATACAAATACTTGTCCAGCAAA